TCACTGCTGGGGGCCTCACTTGCACACCGCCCAGTGGGTGTGGATGAAGCAGCCGGGCTCAGCGTGGCAGGGCTGACGTCACACAGGGCTGTGCTCTGCTGACCACAGTCCGGCTCAGCTGGCTCCACCCAGACTTCGGTGCGGGCAGAGAGCACAGGGACCAAATTAGCCAGTGGAGTCGGGGCGGTGCCCTGTCCTTTTCTGGGCCATCGAGTGCACCCCGGGCAGGTCCCTAAGTCCGGGGGTGGGGGAGCAGCTGGGGCTCTCCGGTGCACACAGAGGCGGTGAAGACGGGAGGTCCCGGGGGCTCCCTGCCATCCTGCCCTCGGGACTCCGGGCCTGACCACACTGCTCGGCGGGGACCTCTCCCCTGGCGCTGCCCGGATCCCGGGCGAGAGCCAGGTCCCTCTCCATCCAGGGCCCCTGCCAGGGCTGGGCTGCCGGTGAGAGAAGTATTTTCACTTTGTGTCCCCCCAAGTCTCCAGTCTGGGGAGGGAGGCAGGACCCGAGGGCATTGTCTGACGTGGCCCCCAATAAAACCAGAGGACCTCATACCTCCTAGTGGCCACAGCGGCTGGCCAGTCCGCACCCGGCAGAGGGCCGAGTGCTGGAATGGGCACCCGGATGTCCTGTTGGGGGCTGCCCGGTGGAGGGAAGCGGGTGGGGCTCGGCGGGGAGCCAGGCCCAGGGGGGGACAGTCTGCCGGGTCTGTGAGAGAGCAAACCGCATGGATGTTCGGGGCATGGCCAGGGCTCAGCACCGGAGCATCAGATGGAAGGCTGGGTGCAGGAGAGGCCATGGGCAGGGAGCCAGGCGGTTGAACACTGATGTCTCTCAGTGGCCGTGTGGAGCGAGATCTCCCAGCCCAGGCCTGTGTCCCGGCCCTGCTAAGCGGTTTGCTTCCGCACACACCCTGCTCCCCCCTCCCTCCAGGCCCGGGCACACGTGGTCCTCAGCCCAGCTGCCCGCTGCCACGGTCAGCCTCACTCCTTGACCTTCGTGCCGGGGGGAAACCACGTCCCTTTGTCCTCTGAGGCTTGCTCAGCTGGTGTATAAGTGCCTTGTCAACCTAGAGAGAAAAGTTTTCTACCCGTGTTTATCTTAAGGAAATAACATCCTTTCTTTTCCCTTTTGAACAGGCCAACAGCTGATCCACCCGGCCTCGTCCCCAACACCGTCAACAAGAAAACGGAGGGGCTGGTTTTTCATCCCCCGTGCCTGGTGTATTTTAGAGATGATCCAGAGGTCCTTTCGTTTGATTAAATCATGAACGTGTCTGTCTTTGGCAGTCTCCACAGTTCTGCGCAGGCCACGGGGGCCCCTCCTGGGCCCTGCTCCCTGGGCTTCTGTCCTAAAGGGGTGGCCACACGGGCTGGGTGTGGGTGTCTCGGGCCAACGCAGGGCAGAGGGCTGGAGTCTGCCCACCCGCATCTCCCTCTGAGCCCGTCCAGGGGGTGCCCACGGGGCTGGTGCCCTCTCGGCTGTGGACGGTTGGAGATGGGAAGGGTGCTTCGCTCTGGGCCTCTGCTAGGGAGGCCACTTGGTGGCCCCGGGCCAGTCTCCCCACAGGAGTTTTCACTCATCGTGTTTAACTGACTTAGCAGCCCCGGGTGGTGGCTGGAAACCCAGGGACCTGCCCTTCATGGGGGATGACTTGATGATCACGTGAAGGGGCAGAGAAACCTTTTTCCTTCTTGTGGGTGAGAGTGCAGACCAGTGGTTCTCAACCTTCCTAATGCTGCGACCCTTTAATGCAGTTCCTCATGTTGTGGTGACCCCCAATTTCATTGTTACCAATTGAACATAATTAAAGCATAGCGATTAATCACAAAAACAATATGTAATTATATATGTGTTTTCCGATGGTCTTAGGCGACCCCTGTGAAAGGGTCGTTCGACCCCCAAAGGGGTCGCAACCCACAGGTTGAGAACCGCTGGTGTAGACAGAGCCCTTGGAGCATGGCAGCCATTAAGACCGGTTCGCTCCTGAGCGCGCTTGGTGTGGCCACCAGATATCGGGGGCCCCGCCCAGAGAGACCAGCCTGGCTCCCGGCCCCTAGGGCCTAGGCCAGTGGTCGGCAAACTCATTAGTCAACAGAGCCAAATATCAACAGTACAACGATTAAAATTTCTTTGGAGAGCCACATTTTTTAAACTTAAACTATACAGGTAGGTCCATTGTTATTAACTTAATTAGGGTACTCCTAAGGCTTAGGAAGAGCCACACTCAAGGGGCCAAAGAGCCGCATGTGGCTCGCAAGCCGCAGTTTGCCAGCCACAGGCCTAGGCGAGTGCACCTCAGGGAGGGCCAGGTGCGCTCCGCGCTGCCCTTGAGCCTGCTAATCACTGGGAATTGAGGTTACGGGGCAATCAGGGATGTGTGATCCAGCGACACTGTCTGCCTGTACCGTTTCCACATGCCACTCTACCTCAGTGCTCAGGGAGTCTCGGCTGTGAGGCTCCAAGTCGTTGCCACATTGGGTTCCGTGGAACTGTTGTCCTTGCCACGGGTGAGCAGCGGCCCGTGGGAGCTGCTTTCACAGTGCCTGGCGCCTGGTTTCACGTTCTGTAAAGGAGTTTGCTGGAGAGCAGCACCGTGCTTGCAGAGAAGAAGGGAAAGGTGTATTGTGGACTCCCCGTGCGTGGCCCCTTCGGCCCCTGGTTGTCCCCCGGAAGGAGGGGCCACGCTGGAACTGCCGGGGGAGGTCAGTGCTCAGCCAGGACATTGGGTTCCAGGAATGAAATGATGCTCCTGGTAGGACTTGACCTTGGAGTGGCAGGTTGTGTGACCGCCTTCTCAGGATGCTCGCTCCATGGGCCTCCGTGGCAGCGGCATCCCCAAGGACTCCCAGACCCATGGCACTGAGGCGCCCGCTCCCCACCCCGGGGCTTACCCAGCTCGTCTTGGTGAGAACGTGTCCCTCTTTTCCTGCTCCCTTTTATTTATGTGACCCCCATTTGTCTTGTTTTGTATCTTTTTTTTAACTGTAAATTGAATTGTGAAATATTGTACAAATAAATTATACTCTTTTTCCAAATACGTATTGAGTCTTTGGCGTCCTATTCCCCCTGCGCTGAGGGTTTCCTGCTACATTCACAAAAGCGCTGCTAGTTCTGAGTCGGGGTTACACCTGGTTTTAGCGAGTCGGCCACTTCACAACAAGGGGTCAGGTCTGATGACGGAGTCCACACCCAGAAGTGTCCACGTGAGCAGTGCCAACCTTTTCCGTTACAGTTTTCATTTTGGATTCACTTTGTGAACGGTTTTCCTACGGGATGAGGCTGGCTCCACTTCAAGATGTAGCCGGAGTGCTGAGACTAGGGACATACAGACATGATTGTATTCATACTTTTATAAAGAGAAGGTAAGCCCTAGTCAGTTTGCTCAGTGGTCAGAGCATCGGTCCCAGGTTTGATTCCGGTCAAAAGCATGTACCTCAGTTACAAGCTTGACCCCTGGCCCTGGTCGGGGCGTATGTGGGGGGCAACCAATCAATGTGTCTCTCTCACATCAGTGTTTCTCTGTCTCTCCCTCTCTCTTCCACTCTCTCTTAAAAAAAAAAAATCAGCCCTAACCGGTTTGGCTCAGTGGATAGAGCATTGGCTTGCGGACTGAAAGGTCCCAGGTTTGATTCCAGTCAAGGGCATGTACCTGGGTTGCAGGCACATCCCCAGTAGGAGATGTGCAGGAGGCAGCTGATCGATGTTTCTCTCTCATCAATGTTTCTAACTCTCTATCCCTCTCCCTTCCTCTCTGTAAAAAATCAATAAAATATATTTTTAAAAATCAATGGGAAAAAATAGAAAAACAAAGAAGTTAGTTTGCTTAATATAAAATGACCCAACATACTTATGAAAACATAAGTATTAATGAAAGTGCATAATTCGTGCTGATCATGTTGCTTCATGCAGCTGGGTCAGCTGGTGAGTTCCCTGCATGGATTCCCCTACCGCTGCGTTGTCACAGGGCCAGCCCCGCTTTACGCTCGGGTCTGGTCGAACCCCAGCTCTCTCTGTTTCATGGTCCTCTGGTCCTGCCCATTTCCCAGCCTTTGCCCCTCGGCCCAAGGCTGCGTCGGGAGCCTGACTTCGTAAACAGCCACAGATCCCAGCCCCGCAGCCTCGGCTGCTTTGGATGCAGAGCGGGTGATGCGAGCCCTGAGCGCCCTCTCCCAGGCTCCCAGTGTGTTAAGGAGAGGCTGGAATTGATGCTGCTTCTAAAGGAACATTTACAAAACTCACCCACGTGCCAGCGATCTCACTGTAAACGAGCCAGCTCCATAACGAGAGGTGCTCGAGCCGTCGCTTTGCTGGGGCTGAGGAGCCTGACCTTATCCTTTTCCCTGGAAGGAAAAGTGAGGTGGGATCTGACCACTGGAGGCCAAGCCTTCCCCTGGCTTCCCCTTTGCTGCCCCTGCTGCTGCTGGTGGGGGACTTGCCGCTCGGATTGGGTCCTGGGTTCCCAAACGCGCACGGACCCTGCGGGACTTGCCAGCCTACTGGTGTTTGGCCCTGAGCGAGGCACGAAGGTGCTGCCCCAGAGTGCACGCCCATCGTCTTGGCATTCCCTCTTGTTCATAAATTCCCAAATTGTCCCAAAGCATTGAGGAGCTTGGAGTGTCAGGAATGGCGGGAGGGGACAGCGTAACTAGCCCTCTCTCCGGCCCTGACCAGCGGTTGCCCAGCTTGGCCGGAAGCCCCTCCTTTCTGGACATGTTGGTAGAAAGTGCTCCTGCCGCTCAGGCTGGTTGTGCGGAGTGGGTCTCCCTGAAGGGCGTTCGCTCGCGAGTCCTCCTCTCTGGCAGCTGGCTCACACCTCATCGCTCTGCCTGTCCCCTGGCCTTCCCTCCTCCAGGCCTGCGAGGCTTCAGCTCCCTTCAGAGGACATGGTGCGGGCCTTGTGGAACCTGCCCCTGCCTCCAGCTCCAGCCCGTCGTTCAGTGACCTGCCCTGAGCTGCCGTGGCGGGGTGTCTGCGAGCGTCCACCCCTGGCGAGACCAGACAGCAGGACTGCAGTGCCCCTCCAGGCGATTCGTGGTCAGCGGTCCTGCCTCTGCTCCCCTGACCACGGCCAGCCAGCGCCTCCGCCTGCTGGGCCACCTCTCCCAACTCGGCCTTTATCTTCAACTCCAAGCAGGTGCCCAGGGATTTAACAGTCGGACAACTGACCAGGGCACATGATCAACAACTAAGGCTGCTAGCTCTACCCTGTTTCACTTCCCCGCCATTTCCCCTCAGCCTCTTATAAATAACCAGACCACGCGCTTTTACTCAACTTCCTCATTCCTACACCTGGCCCCGCTCCCCGGGTCCCTGCCTGCTGTCATTTCCAGGCTGTCCCCCCAAATGAAAAGGGTGCCAGCGAAACGTCTGTTAGAAAAGAGTTTATTACAAACAGATGAGGTATGACTTCTATAGCATTCATGCAGAGGGCACTCAGGGTCCTAAAACATCGGGCGCATGAACGGTCCTGGGAGAAACCGGGCAACAGCCCTGCTATGGGGCTCAGGGGCGTGGGTCCCTGAGGAAGATGGGGGAGAGCCGGGGAAGCAGGGACGACATGATGGGACGATCATTTTCCTCACCAGGAAGACGGTGCCAGCCGCCCAACCTACACCACATCCTGCACGAGGGGGGGGTCTCGAGTCTCAGGCTGGAAACCACATCTGGAAACCACATCGCTCACCACAGCTTCCTCCTGGTCCCTCCCCTCTACTGGGACGAGCACGGGTGACTAACAAAGAGGACCCCGGGAGGTGAGGCGCAGGGGAGACAGCCCTTAGCCCGGGAACTGGGCCAGCCGGCGCCGGGCCTTGGTCAGCCGCGCCAGCCGCTCCTTCAGGAACTTCCTCTTGTCGCTGGTGTCGCTGTGCTCCTTGAGGAGCATGTCGTACTTCTCCTTGTCCTGCAGCAGCTGGAGCATGGCCTTCTGCAGCTGCTGCCCGTACGACCGGAGGACGAAGAACTGGATGATCAGAGGGATGTGGCTGGACAGGCGGTTGCTGGCCTCCTGCAAGAGACGGTTCACAGGGGGGTTGAGGGGACACTGAAGGAAAGCCCCCCTCGTGACTTTCGCCACGTGAGCACCCGGCGGGACCGGACCCAGCAGGTCTCAAACCTCGGTGCTAGGGGCAGCGAGGGACCACACAGGTCCCTGCGGTGCAGAGGGCGCGGCTGGGGGCTGGGGTCAGGGGCCAGCTGGGTTCCCACTGGCTTGTCCTGACAATGAAAGGGTCACTTCTGACGGGAGACGGTCATATGTACCCCAAAAGGGAAACGGGGGACACGTTCACACTATTTTCAACTCTGCCCTGAAGATTTTAGGCTGTTTTTTTTTTAAGTCAACACTAAGATGTGTAGCAGAACAGTGATGGGCTATCAAAAGCCACAGAAGGGCCCAGGGAGTTTCAGGCAGGTGGACAGGTAGTTCAACCCTGCTCCCCACCCCCACCCCCACCCCCATCCCGCCTGTGAGTGAAAAGTTTCTCTTTCCCGAGACGGGCCATCTCTCCGGAAGCTCAGAGAGACTCGCACTGAGCAAGGGCTGTGACCTCTCGGTGCCTCGGGTTCCTTCTCTATAAAATACCAGCACCGGCCTCACGGGATGGTTAGAAGGTAACAGTTTGGAAAGATGCCAGGCGTGGAATGAGTCTAGAGCAGCGGTTCTCAACCTGTGGGTCGCGACCCCTTTGGCGGTCGAACGACCCTTTCACAGGGGTCGCCTAAGACTATCCTGCATATCAGATATTTACATGACGAGTCATAACAGTAGCAACATTACAGTTATGAAGTAGCAACGAAAATAATTTTATGGTTGGGTCACAACATGAGGAACTGTATTTAAAGGGCCAGAAGGTTGGGAACCACTGGTCTAGAGGGTCAGTGACGTGGAGATGGCACACAGGCTACGGGTTCTAGAGGGGGCGTGAGCCAGGAAGGCGGCCTGTCCCCAGGCAGAGACGGAGGAAAGAAGAAAAGGGACAGGCTGGCAGGACGCATGCAGGCGGGATGCTGGGGGCCACCGGCACTGAGGTCTGATGCTGGAGAACGGACAGGAGCTGAGGGACGGCTAATATCTGGAGCGACACAATCAGGCACCCGAAGCAGCTTCCTGCAGGTAACACTGATCAATCTAAAGCAAGTGCTAGGTCTGCCCCAGGTCTGATGGTCACGCTCATGTGTCAGCTGGGCCAGGCAACAGTCCCCAGGTATTTGGTCAAACACGAATCGAGGTGTCCTGTGGATGTGGCTAGCATCTACAATCAGCTGGCTTTAATGAAGGAGGTTGTCCTCATCATGTGGGTGGGCCTGTCCAATCAGCTGAAGGCCTTGCGAGAAAGAAATCCTGCCTGTACACAGCAGTTTCGACTCCTGCCCAGGAACCTCCAACTCACCTCGCCTGATGGCCTTCCTACGAACCCCGGACTTGCCCCGCCAGGCCCCACAACCCATCAGCCAGCTCCTAGAAACACATTTCTTTTCCTTTTTAAATTTTTTAAATTTTTTGTTTTTGTTAATCCTCACCTGAGGATACTTTTCCGTTGATTTTTAGAGAGAATTGAAGAGAGGGAAAGACAGAGAAAAACATCGATTTGAGAGAAACACATTGATTGGTTGCCTCCTGCAGGAGCCCTGACCAGGGCCTGGGCCGGGGAAGAGCCTGCAACCAAGGTACATGCCCTTGACCGGAATTGAACCCGGGACCCTTTGGTCCACAGGCTGATGCTATCCACTGAGTCAAACCGGCCAGGGCTAGAAACATATTTCTTCACCTACATCTATCCTATTGGTTCTGTTTCCCTGGTACAACCCTGACTAATACACCAGAAATCTCATTTATCCTCCAGATATGTGATGCATGAATAATTCCAAGCACTGCAACATCCCTGTGTTAGCAAAAGACTGGAAACACACTACGCCTGCAGCAGCACACATCCATAAAATGAGAGACTCCGCTGCCATGACAAAGAATAAGGCAGCACCCGTGAGCGGGAATGGAACAATCTCCAAGGTGCAGTAAAGGAAGCAAGATGCCAAGCAGCACACACGGCTAACCTTGGTGTAAAAGCCATTTGCATGTATACATACATTGCACACACACACACGTGTATGCTGTCCCTTGGAGGACATCGAGAACCTGGAGGACTGCGTCTGCTGCTGCTGGGGAGGGGATGGCATGGCTCCGGGCGGGGTGGGCGGGAGACCCACTCTCCACTGTCACTCGCTCTGTTTTGGATTTTGTGCATGTGTGCGCATGACCTACTCTAACAGGTTCTGTGAGGCAGGTGAGCAGACACAGGGTAAGTTTCGCTGCAGGAGAGGCCAAGGTGCACAGGCGTCCTTCTGTCTTGCCCTTCACTGGCTTCGCTCACATGTGTGCACCTCCCAGTGTTAGCGGACACGGAGGTTAGAGCCCTGCGGCTGGGGGCACGGCGTTCCCCCGGGAGCATTAGAAATGTGGCATCTGGGCCCAGCTCAGACCTGCGATCCGCCCCTGCATGTCAACAAGACCCCGGAGGTCAAGTGTGAAAAGCAGGGCTTCAAGCACAGGAACGGTGAAGGATGGAGACGCCTGGGAAAGCGAGGGGTGATTATGTGCTCTACGTGTCCAGGTTTCTCGTGTCCCAGCGGTTCTAACTAAGGTGGCTCAGCTGCTGTGAGCAGCCTGCCCAGGATGTATCAGATGCCCCTTCGTGTCATAAAACACAGAGAAGTAATCAAAGCTCACGTCTCCAGGCGCAGCTTCTGTGTGTGCAGCCGCCATTGCATCCCACGGCTGCTAAGGGAGTTACACCCACTCATCCCCCAGAATAGTCACTGGAAACCTACGAGGAGGTGCCATTTTACAGAGAAGAAAGCTGAGGCTCAGAGGGGTTAAAGAACTTGGGTGTGAGTGGCTCTAAGCCACAGCCTCTTCTCGTCTTCAGAGGCCGAGTTGCTTCTATGGAGGTGAACAAAGGGCAGAACGATGGAGCTGGCTGGTGGGCAGCTCACGGAGACAGTAAGTCAGGAAATGAGACAGAAAGCGTCTTTCGGAGACACGCGCAGACTCACTCACCAGGCGGTAGGCCAACAGGTGTTGGAGGATTTCAGCGAGGGAGCAAGTCAAAGGATCCTCCAGAGAGGACGTCTGCTCGCGAGAACTCCCCTTCTGCTCTTTGGATTCCTTCTCTCGGATCTTCTGCAGCGCACCCCGGTACGCTTGGTCTTGGCAGTAGACAATCTGCTCCATTTGGAAGTGCAGTCGGATGGACTTCTCCGCTTCTTTTTCTTGTTCTGACTTAATGTCTTCAATTTTGGACTAATGCGCAAGAGAAACACAACACCGTTTCCCTCCAGAAATCAACCCCTGGGTCAGAGGAAACTGGGTTAGACACAAAGCCCCCAGCTAGCAGGCTCTCCAACTGGAATTAAAACAGCACGCTGCTTCGGGGCAGCCTTCTGCGCCCCGTCTTGGCTTATCTAAGATGGGGTTCCCACCCTCCACAGAGGCTCAGAATTCCTGAAGAGCCTGAACCGCACAGGTGACCAGACCCCTCGTCCCCAGAGCCTGAGGACTCAGCCTCTTTGGTTTCTCTTTTCCTGGCCTCTCATGTGGTGAGTGTATACCCATCAGAGAGCTCCCGGGATAAGAGGGATGAATTGAAGTCAGTCAAATAGTCAAATTCATTCTCATTCCCTCTCCTCTCTCCTCTCTCCTCTCTTCCTCTCTCCTCTCTCTCCCTCTCTGGTTTGTTCCTGGGACTTAGAGAAACTGGCTACCTGGGAGCCCGGGCATCTTCACACAGACAGCACCTGGACCCCCACCTCACCGAGCGCCAGGAAGTGGGACGCGCCCTGCCGGTGTGGCCTCAGGGTTTCCTCCTGTGTTCACACAACCTCTGAGGTGAGGAGGCTGCTCTCAGCCGTGCGCGGTGGAGGAGGAGCTGCAGGCCAGGCTGGCTAAGCGGCCGCCGAGCCCTCCAGCTCCTGCACAGCAGAGCCGGCCTCCCGTCTGTGCTGGGTGCTCGGGACTGAACGTCTGTGTCCCCCAGATTCATATGCTGACATTCTAACTCCAATGTGCTGGTTCTGGACGGAGGGCCTTCGGGAGGTCTAGGTCAGGAGAGTGGAGTCCTCAGAATGGGACCGATTAGTGCTTGTAATGGGATTAGTGCCTTTAATAGGATTAGTGCCTTTGCAAAAAGAGACACCAGAGGTCCCTCCCCTCTCTGTCTATCTGTCTCTTTCTTTCTCTCCCTTTTATTGCTTTTAATGAGACTTCACTGGTCATAAAATAGTAAGATTCACTAATAAGCTGCATAATTTGATTCTCCAAATGTACAGTAAAGTTGCAACGGTCTTAAATCCAGGAAATCTATTTTCTAGCATCAGGGTTAATTATTTTCTTTTTAAGCAAATGGTTGGTTTTACCTTGCAGGTTCTGAAAAGGTTGAAAAACTCCTCATAATTTTTCTTGGAAACATCTGTGAAGGCAAGCCGGACCATATCTGATGAAAGAAAAACAAAAAAGCCCAGTATTAGTAGGATCATTCATCATCTTAATAGATTGCAAAAAATAAGAGGATAAGATGACAAGAACAAAAGTGCCCTCCATCCCTCCCTCCTCCCCCATCTCCCGCTCTTCTTTGCACTAAAGGAAGAAGGCGTGCTTTTTGGCTCAAGAGCTCCCTAAAAGAATTTTAAATATATTTTTTTGTTGATTTCAGAGAGGAAGGAAGAGAGAGAAACATCAATGAGAGAGAATCATTGATTGGCTGCCTCCTGCACGCATGTGCCCTAAGGGGAAATCAAACCCATGACCTCCTGGTTCATTGGTCAATACTCAACCACTGAGCCACACTGGCTGGGTCCTAGAAGATTTATAAACCTAATGTCCCCAGCATACTTATTTAACATTTGAAGTTTTCATCCCAAGTTTAAATAGTTGCATTTTTTTTATATATATATAAAATCAACATTTAAGTCAAACCTCACATCATTCTTTTAAATACATCAATGAGATCTAAACATCCACATTATCTATTTGAGAAGAAATACACAAATAAGCTCTTAATCAGAAAATGTACATTATTTTCATTTCTGAAACCTGTATTTCCATTTGACTTCCTTACAGAATTTATCCTAACAGTATCTTTATGCTTGAAAATCTTTTACTGACTCCACACTTTATCTTTCTAAAACAGAAGTTTATATATACACTAGACGCCCAATGCACGAAAATTCATGCAAGAGTATGCCTCCCTTCCCCCGGCTGCCAGCACCCGCTTCTCTCTGGCACTTGGGACCCCGGCTGGCTTCACCTCGGCTCCCAGCTTCCTCAGGAAGGATGTCTGAAATAATGTCTGGAAGACGTCTGGTCTAATTAGCGTATTACCCTTTTATTAGTATAGACTAGAGGCCCGGTAGGGCGGCGGGGGGGTGGGGGGGGAGTCCCCTCAGCCTGGCCTGCACCCTCTCCAATCCGGGACCCCTCAGGGGATGTCCAACTGCCGGTTTAGGCCCGATCCCTGTGAAATAGGGGACTGCTAGCTTCTAACCACTGGCCTTCCTGCCTGCCTGATTGCCCCTAACCCCTCTGCCTGCTGGCCTGATTGCCCCCTACTGGTCCCCTGCCAGCCTAGACGCCCCCTAACTGCCCCCCTGCCAGCCTGGTTGCCCCCTAACTGTCTGGAAGGAAGTTGGACGTTCGGTTGACCCGGTCTAATTAGCATATTACCCTTTTATTAGTATAGATACTTCTATGACTATAAGTCTCTAAAAACAACATATTTTCTTCAGGAGTGAATTAGAAGGGCACAACTGGTCAATACAACACAAGAACAGATTTTGACATATAATTATTAAGCCTCAAGTAAAATTTTATTAGAAATATACCCCTTAATGAGACAGTGGAGTAACCACAGCAGTGGGTGGAGTGGAGGTGTTGGGTCATAAGAAACGTGCATTTGGTCTTTGCCCCTGGTTCCTGACACACAGCTCTCCCATTCCTTAGGCCTTCCTGGGGGTAGAAGCATCTTCTGTCCTAATGAGGGGACTCTGGGTGGCCCTGGGTAGCCCAGGATGGAGGCTGGTTGCCAGGAAGCCCAAGGCTTGATTGGAAACCTGGAACTTCAGCACAACCTCCCCCAAATTTCCAGCATTGGGGGAGAAGGGCAGGGAAGAGGGATGGAGACTGAGTTAATAATTGTTTATGCCTACATGTGTGATAATTGATTATACCTCCATAGAATCTCCTAAATGACAGGGTTCGAAGAGCTTCTAGGTTAGTGACCTGCCCAGAGAGCAGTGACTCCCAACTCTGTGGGACCTGCTCTTGGGGTACCCCCAGACCTGGCCCTATGTATCACTTTCATTTGCTTCCTTTGTAATAATCAGTCCTTTATGCTACATCAGTAAAGGTAAGTGTGTTCCTGAGTTCTGTGAGCTGTTCCAGCAAATTACCTAGCCCAGTGGTCGGCAAACTCATTAGTCAACAGAGCCAAATATCAACAGTACGATTGAAATTTCTTTTGAGAGCCAAATTTTTTAAACTTCAACTATATAAGTAGGTACATTGTTATTAACCTAATTAGGGCACTCCTAAGCTGGCCTTTGCTAAAAACGTCCTCAATCTGATTGAGGTACGTTCGCTGAGGTCGACCCCTTCCAACTCTCCCATCCACACTCGTCTTGTATACTTGTTTCAGATAGATGAGTGTGGAAGGGAGAGTTGGAAGGGGTCAACCTCAGCGAACGTACCTCAAAACAATGTACCTCCCCCGTGCTGTGTATCCCGCGGTGCAGGTGGGCCGCATATCCCGTCGCCCGACCGACCGACACCCCCCACTTCTTCTAACGCCACTTCTTCAAAATAGACTCGCCCAGGCTGAAAACCGACTTCTGCGCATGGGCCACGAAGTTTCAATCACACTGTACGTGTGCGCCCGCACGTGGTATTTTGTGGAAGAGCCACACTCAAGGGGCCAAAGAGCCGCATGTAGCTCGCGAGCCACGGTTTGCCGACCACTGACCTAGCCTGAGGAGGGAGCTGTGGCAACTCTGATGTATGGATAGCTGGCGACTGCACCCGAAGCCGGCATCTTGTGGCACGGAGCCCTTGAGCTGTGCCAACTAACTCTGGGTAGTTAGAATTGGAACTGAATTGAATTGCTGAACACCCAGTTGATGTCCAGAGAACTAGAGAACTGGTTGGGCTTGTTATAAAAAATGTGTACACACACACACACACACAAGAGGCCCGGTGAACAAAATTCGTGCACTGGGGGAGGGAGTGGTGTCCTCAGCTCAGCCTGTGCCCTCTTGCAGTCCGGGACCCTCAGGGCATGTCTGCTTGCCAGCTTAGGCCTGATCCCCCTGGGCCTAACCCAGCACTCAGACATTCCCCCTTGCAGTCCGGGGCTCTCACAGTCCAGGACCCCTTGCTCCTTACTGCCCACCAGCCGCAGATGTGGGAGAGGCTCCTGCCACTGCTGCTGCGCTCGCTAGCCATGAACCAGCTTCTGGCTGAGGGGGCGGGGAGAGGGAGGGCCGCTCAACCAGAAACTGGCTTGCTGCTACATAGCACTGGCCCCACCCCCCGCCCACTGGTGGGGGGAGGGCCGATCTGGGGGCCGGGTCAGCTGGAGGGAGGGCCATGGGAGGTTGAGGTGCCCTGGTCATGCTCCATCCCGCCTCTGTGGAGGCACCAGGACCACACAGCCCCCTCTCCCGCCGCCTCTGGAGGGGCTCGGGGACCACCATGGCTGGCCTGGCAGCACAGGCTCGCTGGCCCCGCCCCCCTGCCCACTGGGTGTTCAGGAAAGTCGTTCTTGCCTCAGCCCTTGCAGCCCCGGCTTTGTCCGGAAGGTCATCTGGAAGGATGTCTGGAAAGACGTTTGGCTGTCTGGTCTAATTAGCATATTAGCTCCTTATTATATAGGGTAAACAGAGCCACTTTAAAATGGAGAAACTGCCTTGCTCGCCTTATGCCTCAAACTGTTGAGATGTTAGAACAGGCAAAATGGCCTTTGATCTGGACTGAGGGTAACACTGTGTCCCAAAGCACTGACTGTAAGGATCACAAGAAAGCAGATAGGATTTCAACTGGACTGGAAATTAAAACTGTTTAGAATTAGCGTCACTGCATCAGCTTATCAGCACCAACAGCAATGCCTTCCTTCTATGGAGGCAACTGTCCCCTTCCCTTTCTCATCGATCCCCCTGGCCTTTCCCTCCTCAGCGGAACACCATTTGGGCTTCTGCCTGAATCAGTGTTTCCCAAGTAGCTCTTCTTATTGATCTCAAAGAACCGCCCTGCCCTACTTCGGCCTTTTATTTCTAGGTGAGCGGGTGGCTGGTGCTGGGACACCAGGGGAGAGCTCTGCGGCCTGGCACTGGCCTGAAGGCAGACCCAGGAGGACTCACCGGTGATCTTATGCAGCATTTCCACCGCCGGCTCCTCCAGGGTCTTCACTTGCTTCTTTATGATCGTCTCAAACGTCTTGTAATTCACGAACCCTGGCAGCTCTCTGCCGCGATACTGATTTTCAAATTTCCTGATCTGTCTAAAAATATCGTCATAACCTACCGTGGGAAGAAAGAGCTCTGAATTATTTTACAAAAATAACGTCGCCAGCTTTTCTAAAGACAGCGCCATCCTGGACTCTCTGAAAGCACAGAGTGGCACGAAATAAAAATCACATCTGATTTGCAAATCGAAAAACAATCAGGGGTTGCAATAGCGAAAGAGGCCTTAATGTACTTTCCCTTGGTCATCTTGAGAGGGCAAGGATAGAGCCAGGGCACGACGCCAGCGACCAGTGACTGCAGACCTATTCTTTAAAAGGTACTTGAGTATGAAAGTTTGTCCATCAATTGGGTTTTTACCAAAGCAGTTGCATCCTAATAGAACATTATGACTTGCAGGTCCTTAAGAAAGTGGGATTGACCGTGAACACCACCTGGAATTCCCTAGGCATCCCTTCTTCATGTGCTGTCGCATGAGTAGGAGGACTGTGCAGATCAAGTGGGGTCACACAATAGCCGGCACACAGGATCGTATTAGTGTGATATGTTTACTATGTAAAAACCACTTGGCTTTTTCTTCATATGTTTGGAATTCTTTGTTAAAATATATAATATATATATATTTCAGAGAGGAAGGGAAAGATAGAGAGAGAGATAGAAACATCAATGATGAGAGAGAATCATTGATCAGCTGCCTCCTGCACTCCCCACACTGGGGACCGAGCCCGCAACCTGGGCATGTGCCCTGACCAGGAATTGAACCATGACCTCCAGGTTCACAGGTCAACACTCAACCACTGGGCCATGCTGGCAGGGCCGGAATTCTTTTTATTCTCAATATACTAGGTGTGAAGGAAAACACGCCACTGGGGGGCATTCAGCAGGACTCTGGGTCCTCTTTTGGGAGAATTAACCAGGGATCATAGCCTGAGTTCCCTTTCTCGGTCAGGAGATACTTTCTCATAGAAATGTTTTAAATGGAGGTGCAAGCCGTGCATTGTAAAATTCACCCTATTGGAGTGTACAATGTGGCGGTTTTGGGTATATAGTGGGGCCTTGACTTATGAGTGTCCCGACTAACGAGTTTTTTGAGATACCAGCTGTCTCTCGGCCGATTTTTTGCATTGAGTTGATAGAGTAATTTGAGTTAACGAGCTCCTTAACGAGCTCGGTCTCGGAATGAATTAAACTCGTAAGTCAAGGCCCCACTGTATTCACAAAGCTGTGCAGCCATCACTACTATCTAACCCTCAAGCATTCCCATCGCCCCCAGGAACCCTGTGCCCATCGGGTCCCTCCCACCCTCCTTCCTCAGCCCCTGGAAACCACAGATCTACCTTTGGCCTCTGTGGATGTGCCTACTGTGGACATTTCCTGTGAAAGGAATCACACGGCACGTGGCTTTTTGTGTCTCACTTCTTTCACCGAGCATGAGCCTTCACGCTTCAGCCACGCGGTAGCCCGTGCCAGCACTCCACGCCTTGCGATGGCTGAGTAACATTCCATCATGTGGTGTTACAGTCTGAATTCTGTCTCCCCCAAATTAACACGTCGAAGCCCTCGCCACTAATGCCTCAGAACGTGGCTGTGTTTGGAGCGAGGGCGTTTAAAGAGGTCACGAAGCTGTGTGTGTGGTGGTGCCTCAGACTCACCTCTCTGGAAACTCTTTTCGATCTCAATGCTCCACTTGCCGAACTCCATCCGGATTCTGGTGAACAGCCGACTGTTGTCGCCACACACAGATTCCTCCCCCTCTACTAAAGCTTGGATGTCCTGATTAAATGTATTGATTTTCTGTGAAGAGGAAGCACAAGTGGAGCTATGTCAGATGCTAGCGTGGCGGGATCTGGAGATGATACGCGTGCTGAGGGCAAGGCATTCTTGCTGCCTACGGCCCACTCTGGGGAATGGGCACCAGGCCCCGCCCCCACTCTTCCATTAAGGCCTTCGGGGTCTTGGGTGAGTCCCATGATGAGGAATCAAGGAGCAATGTGACCCTCCACCCTCCACACCCCACCTCCCTGCTCCCCGTCCCTCAAACCCGGCCCCTTTCTGGTGCTCAGTGGACAGAAAAGAAAGAAGCGCATAAGGCACGGGGCCCCTTTCATATATTCAGGGTGTGACCCTTCAGCACGATGCCACGGAGCTACTCACGTCAATCAGAAAGAACATTTTCTCAGTTTCTTCTTCCGGGATGTCCATGCCATACTTCTGCAACTGCTCTGTTATACTCTGCTGGTTCTCCTTTATTTGATTTTCTAGCAGGGGCAGAGATTTCTGGGGAAAGTAGGAAGAAAGTCATGGAAATACAGCAATGTGAACCGGGAATGAAAAGATGGCCCAGGCCTCCTTCTGTGAGGTGCGGGGCAGCTGAGCCGTGCATCTGACTTCCCGGCTTCCTCTAGAAGGACTCTCCTGCCTGGAGAGAGGGCACTGCTTCCCACCCGGGCCTGCCCACCCTCCCACTCCCGTGCAAATAGCCTCAGCCATGCCAGGCGACCCCTTGGCATGGCTCCTGGGCCCTGGAAAAGCAACTTGTCTAGTGGGTTCGGAAAAAGTGCAGCTGCAACAATTTGAGATTTAGCTACTTTCATGCTGTTGTTCAAGACGGAAAGTGATCAGGCCCTTGTGTCTCTAATAACAATCACAAGGTGGAGTGCACGTGCCAGCTCAGCCTTCCATGGCGAGCATCTAAAGACGCCGGCTAACATGTCACACGCAGCCTTTAAACGTATCAGTGAGCTGGCAGGTGTTCACAGACACCCAGCAGCCAAAGCCGGCTGCCAGAGGGGAGCCGCAGTGAGGCTCGATTTGGCCTCAAGGGCATTTGTGAGAGAGAAAGCTTGAACTCGCCTGAGGTGATACTGAGGTGAAGGAGAAATCCCTGGGGGCTTGCTCCAGGCAGGAATCTAAGGGACGAGCACCTTCTTTCTAGATAAACCTGGGGTCCTGACACGATGCCCTCATCATAGCAGGAGGCACAGCCTGCCCACCAGCCCATTCCTGGGGGACTGCATGCCACGCCTGGACTCTGTGCCGAGTGGAGAAGAGAAAATCTCCACGGAGAGTCTGGACCCACAGCCAGCACTCAGACAGGTTTGTTCCCCAACTTCACACTTGCTGAGGGGTCCCCAAACCTCCAGCTAAGAAGCTAACATGGTTCAAGCTAGAAGCAAACGCTGCCTCTCCCCGAAGAGCCCCACTGAACCCAGGCTTCTGCAAATCCCCACAGACCAAGTTCCAAGAAACTCAGGCTCCCAGTCAAAATTCCCGCCCAAGGCCCTGTGGGAACGGCCCGCGGAACCATCTGATTCTGGAACCATTGAGTTCAAGGCACAACAGAAATACATGCAAAGGCATCTTTTAAAAGGATTGAAAATGGGAAAGAGCAAGAGACTGTGCGGACAGATTGGAAAAGAAGCAGAGAAATGTTAAGAAATGAAATACGATCATTACAATTACCAAGGCAGGCTGACAGTGGCAGGCAGTGAGAAAGGAGGAGTTAGAACAGTGCTCAGAAGGTCTTGATTTTTAATTCGACCAAGTGGACACTGTCAGCATCCCTCTCACTGTGTGGTCCTCTGACAAGCACCATGCATGACCCGGGCCCTCTCTAGAAACGGGGGGTTTCAGGCCACACTCCCGACCCGCTGAGCCTGGGCCTGCGTCTTCACAGATGCCCAGGAGTTCCGTGTGCTCGCTGACGGTTCAGCTTGCTGTTAGTAGGATTCTACCCAGAGAACAGACAGCCCTCCCTGTGCTTACACTGATGTGTGCGATGAGCTCATTGGTCAGTCTTTCTGCCAGGCAGGGGATCGTGGCCTTTCCCTCCTCCAGGAGATCCCTGCAAGAGAAGACGGCACGCACACCTATCTTAGTGTAGCCACAGAAGGCTTTGTGGGGCTGCCTGTGGAAGTCACGGCAAATCCAGTAACTTCCAACTGGAGGGAGTGCCCTGCTGTTGGTAGGTGCCCCACCAATGTTCAGAATTGGATCGTATAGAAGGATGACTGCATTTTAGTCAATTCAGATCATTCAAAAGTAATATAGAATGACCCCTTCTGTTGATGTGTGAAATGTGTCTTTACAAAAATACAGTCACCTACAGATACGTTTTCATCACACACACACACACACACACACACACACACACACACACTGTGTGCACCACACATGTAAATATACATAGTGCATATCGGTAGAGGACTTCATAAAATTACATTGACCCGTATTTACATAGGTGTGAGGGTGAACCTGGAACCAGGGGACACGGCTTCCCCGAGACGAGGACTGAAACCAGGGCTGCTTGGGCGAAGGAAGCCAAGCCCTCCTCTCACTCAGTCCAACTCTGAGTTCCCAGGGTGAGTTACGACAGGGTTCTGACATTGCACAAAGCTTGGCAGGATAAAAGGCAGGAAAGCATGAGTCGACATACCTATTAGTGAGATTACACACAAGCTCAAGTTCTCTTTCCACACCTGTCCTTTGTCTAGTTGTCGTAAAATACACATCTCATAAAATTTACCGTTTTAACCACTGCTAAGTACACAGCCCAGGGGTATTAAGCACATAGACGCTGTTGTGCAACCATCTCTACCATCCAGCTCCTGAACGTTCCATCTTCTCAAACTGAAACCCTGTCCCCGTTGAACACTAACTCCCCACCCCCCAGCTCCAGGCCCTGGCTCCCACCATCCTACACTCTGTCTCCATGACTACGACCACTCTCGGGACCTTATGTAAATCGTACAGTGACCAGCTTATTTCACTTAGTATACTGTTCTCAAGGTTCATCCATGTTGTAGCAGGTGTCAGAATGTCCTTCTTTCTTAAGGCTAATATTCCATCGTATGAATAGGTCACATTTTGTTTACCCATTCATCCATCGATAGATACTTGAGTTGTTTCATCTTTCGGCCTTTGTGACCAGTGCTTCTGTGCTCAGAGGTGTGTGAATAGCTGTTTACACACCTGTCAATTCTGAACAAGACCTCTCCACGGGCTTCTGGGAGAATTGATCGTAATGATATTAACAATGTGCGTGGGGCTCCACCCGCATACACAGGTGTGCACACAAGGGCCTCAACATCCCATAAGCACCTTTTCATTGACATCTTTTTGGCCTGGTACCAAAGCGCCCTGCAGAGGCTGGGCCGGAGGGCTCCCTGCCCCGGGGACAGAGCCAGGCTCCTCCCTTCCCGCCAATTCTGCATCTTCTCAGTAATTTAAATCTGAGCAATTTATCAATCTCTTCCTTTATAAAAAATTCTTGTCTTTGGCCTTAGAGTTAGAAAGATCTCTATTATGGGATTCTAAACTCTCCATCTGTAAGCTTCAACCAGTATTTATTTTGGTGTAATGTGAATGTTCAAGGGCACGAAGTTTAACTTTTTCCCCCAAACATTAAATGATTTTTTCAGTGCCACTGATTAATCATCAAAATGACATGGCCCATGGATTTGAAAGGCCACATTTATCATATATCCAATACATGTACCCGGGTCTATTTTTGGACTTTCTACTTTTTTCCTATTTGTTGTATTTATGCTTTTATTCTGGTTCCAGCACCATACTATTTAAATTATTGTAGCAAGTTCACTCCTTAATTTGATTTTTTTTACAAGTTTGTGGGGTTTTTCTTTTGTTTTGTTTTGTTTTGTTTGCCATGCATGTGAATTCCTCCATCTTTCTTCCAGGGAAAACCCACAGTCACTCTCAGGATCAAACACTCACACATCGACCCCAAAATCCGCTTTTGGAAGAGGTGGTTTTCCCCGGGGAGGACAGAGGTCCTTGGTTAGGTTTGACCTTGGGAAAGCGGAGCCGGGCGTACCTGAAATACGGATGGTCCTCGAAGAAGGCCCTCTCTCTCTGCAGGGCCTTGGACAGGCTCATCTGGTACTGGATGTCCTGTTGGCCCCGGCACTTGACGATCATGTAGCCCTTCTTCAGGTGGTAGACGAGGTTTCGCACCACATCAACCACCTTGTCTTCCGTGCCTCTGTCCACCAGGTCGGGCTTTGTCAGGATCCCTGTGAACCGGAGACTTTCAATTAGGGGACACTCACAGCTCGGGGACACTCACAGCTCCGTTGGAGCGAGGAGTGGTCAGCTCACCACCTGGGGGAGGAGAGCCTCCTGGCCACCCGCTTCCTCCCAACCTTGCTTGAGGGCAGACCATAGGGCTTGCAGAGCCCAGGTGCAATGCACGGAACTTTCCATCTTCCCCGTCTGACACTATCCCCATTAAACACTAACTCCCCATTCCCCCTTCCCAGCCCCTGGCACCCTCCATTCTGCTTTCTATCTCTATGAATCTGACTCTTCTAGGGACCCAATAAATGTGTTATTTGGCAAAATATTTTCAAGGTTCATCCATGTTGTGGCATGTGTCACATGTCCTTCCTTTTTTCCCACCCTCAAATTCACTGTTAACTGACATAACTGCTTTCAGGTTTTGCCCCACTCCCTGAACTCACCAGGCCTTTTGTAAGCAGGCAGACAAGGGTTATGAGCCCACTTGTGGCCAACAAGAATCCACGTGACCCGCGCCATCGGGACTCAGTGGGCACCAAACCTGACACCTTAGCAGTCTCATCCGCTGGGTGCAGCCCCCCTCCCCACCCGGCACGTGTGCCAACAAACACCCATTTGGATTCAAGGGATGCTTTCCCACTATCAGACCCCCTACCATTTGTCGGTTCGTCCCTCTTCTTACCTATGGTCCTGTCTCCATCGGGGTCCACCTCGTGAGCCATGCTCAGCGCCTCTGTGGTGGCGATGTCCACGTTACTGGGCACCACCACCAACATGATGGTCTGTTGCCTCAGGATGTACTTCTTGATGAGTGCTGTAATCTGTAAGGAAATGAGAGGATGTGAGAGTTGAGATAGGTCCTTGGAGTCCCAGGCGTATCCTCCCCTCAACACAAGCCTAGTAGCTCTTCCCAAGCCAGAGTTATAAGGAACTAAGTTCTCTGTGGCAGAAAGAGCTCTGGGGTCAGGGAAAACCAAGGTTTCTGCTCATTAACCATCTCCTAAAACCTCAAATCTGATGGTCACAAAAAAACAAGATGCTACAAGAATTGCTCGAGTCTTGTCTAAATCATTAATCCACAGGGTAAGAGTCATTGATAGGGAAATATCATTATATTGTTTCTAGCGCTCTCTCTTCCCATGTAAGATCCATCTCTAGTACATGCCAGTTTAGATATGCCACAAAATGTGACTATACCTAAAAATGCATCACCATAAAAAACATAAAACATAGAAAACATATTTCCAATTTTGCCTGTTTGCCTCACTCTCTCCAGAGAAGCCTCTACCTGACTTGGTGGAGAAAACTGCAGCCATCATGCGCTCTAAATTCCCTACTCATACCTCCTAATATCCAACCCTCAGCATCAGCCCTGAATTCACTATTGCTCTAATGCAGCCTCCCTCTCCACAAAGACCAAGGTCAAGATGAAGCCTGAAGTTTCACCTGACGTCCGATGTCAGCTGGCTGATTGCCCACAGCCACCCTGGTGATGCCAGGAAGGTCTATCAGGGTCAGATCTGGCACGTGAGGGGAGCTGACCTCCAGATTAATTAGCTCTTGACTGATTCCCACACCTTCCCCAGCAATGACATTCTGGGCTAGAGAAGAAGAAAAAAAGAAAAACCAAATAGCACTTAGGATGAAAGTTACCCATTACAGCGAATCCTCTGAAGGCAACACCTACCAGTCACTTTTGTACCTTCCCCAAATGACTGAAACTTAAGTATGTGACATGGTAGGAAGAAATTAAAGTCAATAAGGAAAAGTTATTTATTCATCTCAATCACAGTTAGCAGCGACTAACTGTGTTATTCCTTTGTCTTTATCAACTTCAAGTCTGATTTCTCCCTTTGGATGTCTCAAATTGGTCAAATGGTCTCTGTGGTTTACATCTACCAAGACCTTCCATAAATTAGTCTAAACAAGGATTCTGTAAACACATCTATTCTGCTCCTGGAGGAAAAGGCCCACCTAGATTCCTCTTCCATCAGGTCTGTGGAGTGGGGAAGCCCTTGAATAAAAAAGACTCAATATTTGGAGACAAGCTTTACATTTTAAAATTCACATCATCCTCAGATACTTAACTTATACACTAAGCAATACATTACTGAGGTCAGAATCTGCTCAAAAGCACTGATATTAATGAGGGAAAAGAAGATAAAAATATGAGAGAGCTGGGGCCTAATGAGCAGGAGGGAGAGAGGGATGGATGGTTCCCAAGGGTGCCAGGCGGACCCAGAAAGGAGAGAGTGGGAACATTGACAGGCAGACCCCACCCACTTCACCTGGTTTGACCTGACATCCAAATAGGTGCGGATGAATGAATATGGGGTACTTACCTTTCCTGATTTCCTGTTCTACCTCCGAAGCAGCTGAAAGATCAATCTCCAGGTCCCGGTAAGTGACTTTGCCTTTCCACTCATCATCATGCCTAAGTTTTCTCAGTTTCAGCACCAGGGGACATCTTGTAACAATACCTAGGAAGCCAGGTGCATATCAGTTCCATACTCCGCTCTTAAAAGTCCTATATGGTGGCCTTGGATCAATGGCTCTCAAAGTTTCATATAATCTTGGAGACTGTTCACACTGCTAACGTTCTGGTCTCACCCTCTGATACTCTGATGCATGACGTCTGTGGTAGCCTCAGAAATATGCACTTAGAATATACATCTGAGGTGATTTTTGGCTCCCTAATGCTTGAAAGCCTCTATTTTAAGTATCTTGCTTCATCCCAGTGTTTTGTCCCCAACTCAGGTGGTAAATAACAAACTTATGCAAACATCCTCCATTATCCCCTAATATACACACTACTCCTGTCAGAAAGGCATCTATCCAGAAAGACCAAGACCAAAGATGGTCTATCCATCTTCCATATCCAGAGCATGGTCAAGACCCATTTCAGGTCTGTCTGTGTCCATGAGCCCTCACTGATATCCTTGGTCTTGTAGCTCAAACAGCACCAATGATCAGAGAACCAATCTTTGCCTCTCAGATGGAGGGTCAGCTCTGAGGAAGGGGCTCAGGAAAGACGCCCACATGCACAGAATCCTGGGCTGGAGACCCATATGCACTTACTCAAGACCTTCCACACAGTGCAGGTTATGTATAAACCACACAGAATTGTGCAGTGAGTGGGTATTATGGACTGAATGGTGCCCCCCTCAAAATTTACATGTTGAAACCCCAACCTCCAATGTGACTGTATTCGAAGATAGGACCCTCCTTTAAAGAGGTGATTAAGGTTAAATAAGGTCATAAGGGTGGGTCACTAACCAATATGACTGGCATCCTTCTAAAAAGAGGAAGAGACACCACACATGTGTACACAGAGAAAAGGCCATGTGAGGATTCAAGGAGAAGATGGTCATTTGCAAAGGAGAGAGGCCTTGGGAGAAACCAAGCCTGATGACACCTTGATTTTGAGCTTCTATAGCCTCCAGAACTGTGAGAAACAAATTTCTATTGTTTAAGCCACTCAGTCTATGGTAGTTTGTTATGGCAGCTGCAGCCGACAGATAGAGAGGGTAAGTTCTTACCGCTGCCTCTGGGGAGGGAGACACCAGACAGCGCCTCCAGCACGGAGCTCTTGCCCGAGCTCTGGTCCCCGATGACGGCGATGGCGGGCAGGGCCAGGTCCTGCTCCACGCCCAGGGCCCGCAGGGAGTCGATGAGGTCGATGCAGGGGCGCACCTTCTCCTCGTACTGGCTGCACAGGCTATTCTCCAACGTCTAGCAAAAGCAGAATCCGAGAATTTTGTCATGGCTTGCAGGTCATGCTCCATCAAAGATGGACAACTTCAACTTGCCTAATATACAGGTTATTCAAGTTACCAAAAGAGAGTGGGAGAGGAACAGGAAAAAAAGAAAAAGAGACCCGGAGGCAGCGCTGTGGCGGGTGGGCAGGGCCTCCCTCTGTGGGGGCGATCCGTCACGGAGCCCTGGCTGGGTGGGTAGGGCCTACCTCTTTGGGGTGATCAACCATGGGGTTCCCGGACTGTGAGAGGGCACAGGCCGGGCTGAGGGACCCCACCTCCCCCCAGAGCACAAATTTCGTGCACCGCGTCTCTAGTACTGGTATAAAAATGGAGAAAGAAATTGATAGATCACATACATTTCCAGAAGTAAACTGACACATATATGAATAACTGATTTTGGACAATAGTGTAAGAACTATGCAGTGGAAAAAGGATAAGCTTTTCAACAAACGGCATTGGGATAATCTAATTACCAGCATGCAGAAAACAAAACAAAAACAACACACATACCACCTAATATCTATCACACCATATACAAGCATTAGCTCACAATGGGTCATAAACCTAAATGCAAAACTTAAAACTACAGAAGTTCTAGAAGAAAACATAGCAGAAAATCTCTGTGACTGTGGATTAGGCTGTGGTTTCTTAGGCATGGTCCCAAAAGCAGAATCCATAAAAGAAACCAACTGACAAATTCAACTTCATCAAAATGAAAACATTGGATGTTTAAATGAGGCTAGGAGAATGAAAAACAAGCTACAGTCTGGGAGAATATGTTTGCAAAGCATATATCTGACAAAGGACTTGTACCCAGAATTACAAAGAACTCTCAAAACTCAACAATGAGAAAACCACCCAATTAAGAAAATGAGAAATTAATTTTATCTTTTCTTTTTTAATTCCTATTTTTGGGTGTGTTTTATAATATACATAAATTTTACTAGAATACTTCCTTTACATCGTGGTAAGAAGCAACTTATATTTTGGGCCAGGCAAGTCTTTGTGTTGGGGGGCTATTCTGTATTCTAGTATTATAGGCAGGGGTCCTCAAACTACGGCCCGTGCGCCACATGCAAATACAAATATTGTATTTGTTCCCATTTTGTTTTTTTTACTTCAAAATAAGATATGTGCAACGTGCATAGGAATTTGTTCATAGTTTTTTTTTAAACTATAGTCCGGCCCTCCAAAGGTCTGAGGGACAGTGAACTGGCCTCCTGTTTAAAAAGTTTGAGGACCCCTGATTATAGGAGATTTAGCAGAATCCCGGGCCTCTATTCACTATTCTCCATGAGTTGTTTTTTGGGGTTGTTTTTTTTTTAATGGTTCAAAAACTTTTAAGTATATTTTACTAGAGGCCCGGTGCACGAAATTCATGCACTCAGGGGGGTACCCTCAGCCCGGCCTGCGCCCTCTAGCAGTCTAGGACCCCTCACTACTTACTGCCCACCTGCTCGCTGCACTCGACTTGCTGCTTCTTAGCGTTGCCATGGAAGCGGGAGAGGCTCCCACCACCACTGCTGCACTCACCAGTCGTGAGCCTGGCCTCTGACTGAGCGGCATTCCCTCTGTGGGAGCTCACTGACCACCAGGGGGAAGCTCCTGGGTTGAGCATCTTCCCTCCGGTGGGCAATGTGCATCATAGCGACTGGTCATTCTGGTTGTTCTGCCATAATGGTCATTTAGGCTTTTATTATATAGACTAGAGGCCCGGTGCACGAATTCATGCACCAGTGGGGTCCCTTGGCCTGGTCTGAGGGATTGGGCCGAAACCCATTCTCCGACATTCCCCAAGGGTTTCCGGATTGTGAGAGGGCACAGGCCAGGCTGACAGATGCCACTGGTGCACAGTAGGGGCTGGGGAGGGATGCAGGAGGTTGGCCACCTGGGGAGGGACCGAGGGAGTGCTCCATGGCACGTCCGGCCCATCTCGCTCAGTCCCGATCGGCCAAACCCCAGAAGCAAGCTAACCTACCAGTCAACTGTCTCCCCCTGGTGGTCAGTGCACATCATAGCGAGCGGTTGAGTGGCCTTAGCATATCATTAGCATATTATGCTTTAATTGGTTAAATGGACAACCAGATGACTGGACACCTAGCATATTAGGCTTTTATCATATAGGATTGATTTTTACCAAAAGGAAGGGAGAGGGATAAAGAGTTAGAAACATCAATGAGAGAGAAACATCCATCAGCTGCCTACTGCACAACCCCTACTGGGGATTGAGCCCGCAACCAAGGTACATGCCCTTGACCAGAATTGAACCTGGGACCCTTTAGTCCGCAGGCCAACGCTCTATCCACAGAGTCAAACCAGTTAGGGCCTCCATGAGTTTTGACAACCAAAATGTCTCCAGACTTTGCAACATGTTCCAAGAGGCAAAATTGTCTCGGGTTGCAAACCACTGCCTTACAGAATATGCATGAGTTCAAAACTTCATATATGGGAATACTGACAAATTCAGTAGAAAAGGGGGTACACTGGCAAGGACTCCCTCAACTAACCTTGAGTGGGGCTCTGTTGAGCCCTCTCCTCAGCCTGCTGCTAAGCCAGTTCATCCAGAATCCCTCACCTTTGATAGCTAATCAAGTCCCTCCCCCTTCCCCACCCCTCAATCTTAGCATTTCTCCCTCCTCTCTCTCACCCTGCCCGCTGGCTATAAACCCCAGTTGTACTTATATTCCACACTGAGCTCAATCTCTCTCCTCCGTTGCAATAGTCTTGAATAAAATCTTCTTTGCTATTTTTTTTAAGTATCTAGTGCAATTTTTCTCCATAACAACACTTAAGAAAGTAGTGCACCCTGCCACAGGGAAAGCCCATGTATCCATGAGTAGCCTCAGTATCCAACCCCCTTATTGCTTCTTTTGGTTTTCATTTTTTTTTATCATCCCTTCACAAGAGTGTATAAAAGATGAATAATTAGCAAATGCACATGTGCCAACCACCTGGGTTAAGAAAACACATATTCTCAGGACTTAAGACACTCCGTACACCTCTCCCCAATCACCTCCCTCCTATTGCCCCTTCACCCTCACAAGGTCCTTCTACCCTGAGGCTTGTGATAACCACCTATCTGCTCTTCTTCATCGTTGTACCACCGAACCATCTTTCCCTGAACAACACCATTGCTTACTGTTGCTTGTTTTGGAACTTTACATAAATGAGATCACACTGTACATTTCTTCTATGACGTGATTCTTTGGTTCACCACTGTTTTTTAGACGCAGCTATCTGGATGCCTGGTAACCTAGTTCATTCATTTTCACCGCTATATCCTACTAGAATTCTGCTGCATACGCATACCACAATCACACATGGGCACCTGTGTTGGTTCTGGGTTTTGCTATTTATAAACAAGGCTGTTAGAAGCACGGCTCCCAGGTGGAATGGGCAAGAGTTTGCATAGTGGTTTTCAAACGTAAACCTGAAGTAGAATCATCTGGAGGGCTTGTTAAAGGCCCCCTCCTGGAGTTTTAGTTTTCTAGGTCCAGGGGAGGAGTGTGTGTGGGTGTGAACATTTGCATTTCAAATATCATCTGCAGAGTAGCATCCCAGGCGATGCTGATATCACTGAGTTGGGGACCACACTTTGAGAACCAAGATCGGCGCCTAGAAGTAGAATTGCCAGATCACCAGACACTGTTCAACTTGCCTGGAAGAGGTCAGGCTACTTCCAAGCAAGTGGGTGTGAGCTGTGCGAATTCTTACTGCCCCCTACACCACCAGTTACAGCCAGGCCAAGACAGTTACGTATAGAGTAGGTCCTCGGATTATGTCGGAGATCCGTTCCTACAGCACAACCGTAAGTCGGAACCCACCTACGTAAGCACCTACGTCACTCACATGGAGCACATTCACAGCAGTGAAGTGAAACAGTAAAAAAATTTAAAAGAAAGAACAATTCCTGACCTGTACTTGTGGTAAATAAAAACATAAAGCACATATGTACATACGTCAAAATGACAGAACTTTTTTTTTAATAAATGGGAGATGGCGATGTAACTACGAAAGGACGTACGTCGAGTCTGACATAACCAGAGGATTGTCTGTATTAGGGTGGAAAGATGGGCGGACCTTTTTATTTTCCTATGTCCTTCAACATGGTTTTTAATATTGCTTAAGATACTGATAACACTGATCATGAAAATGGAGTCAACTTGAAAGGAGCTGATCCATGGCTTGAAAACATGTACTAGCAAGAAAAGGAGCTTTTTCTAAGTGCCCAAGCTACCTGCATTCACTCCTCTCAACAGCCACCTGAAGTAAATACTATTCTTATGCCCTTTAAAGATGGAAAACCAGGCATATAAAGGGAGGAATAACCGAAGATCACGCAGCTGAAAGTGTCAGTGTTGGGATCAAATGTAGGCCAACTGATTCCAGAAGCTAAATTTGGTTCCCAACAAAAATATGTCTTGATTCTGGGGAAACAGACACCAACATGGCTGCCCTGTGAGGGAATGTCATGATGACACCTCAGAGCAGGGGTCCTCAAACTTTTTAAACAGGGGGCCAGTTCACTGTCCCTCAGACCACTGGAGGGCCAGACTATAGTTTTAAAAAAAACTATGAACGAATTCCTATGCACACCGCACATATCTTATTTTGAAGTAAAAAAACAAAACGGGAACAAATACAATATTTGTATTTGCATGTGGCCCGCGGGCCGTAGTTTGAGGACCCCTGCCTCAGAGGGTTGCAGTTTGAGACTGAATCATGACGTGAGCAACTGGTAACACAGGGTTCCTAGCACCCAGGACCCAGGCCAAAATTGCACCCTAACCAGCATCAGCTAAGGCAAAAAGTCTACATTCAGTTGCAAGAAGGGCTCAAGCTGTAGGATCCACATCCCTGTTCTGCTCCGAGAGACGTGAGGGAGCGAGCCTCTCCGGCCACGCACGGGGCAGCTCTGAAATGGACACGGCTCACATCCACACGGAGAGTGACTTCCAGGCAGCAACTTACTGTCTCCAGATTTCCCTCCGGCGCAACAGCATCTCCATTTGGTAAGGGATGACTGGATGCAGGGGTGGAATCAGGAGTTGCTGTTTCCATGTTAGAATGAACTGTCTTCTCCCTTTATCGGTTCAGCTTAAAACCAAGCAGATCAGGATGAACACAGTCAGAAGCTGGGTACGTTCAATCATGCAGCCACGCCCACCACTCTACTGACGGAAAAAGAAATGACAGCAGGAGCCGGAGGAAGCCAATGTCCGATGATGACAAAGGCTGCATCCCAGCTCAGTGCTCTACAGAATATGCTTCTAGACCCCAAAAGATTTTTTTAAACTAGATATTTCCTGTCATCATTTTAGGTTGAACATCAAACGTTTTTTTCACCACGCCTGGCTGGTGTGGCTCACTGGTTGAGTGTTGACCTATGCACCAGAGGTCATAGGTTTGATTCCCAGTCAGGGCACATGGGCACATACCAGGGTTTGGGCTCAATCCCCAGCAGGGGGCGTGCAGGAGGCAGCCAATCAATGATTCTCATCATTGATGGTTCTCTCTCTCTCTCCCTCTCCTTTACTCCTCTAAAATTTAATAAAAACATATTAAAAATTTTTTTTCTCACCATAAATTTAGATAGTGGCAAAGAATGAAATTTATGATGTATTTTTTAAGTTTGCATTTAAAAATAAAATTATCGTAGAATTCATTCTAAAAAAAAAAATAGAACTCATTCTAATGCAGCTGAAGGAATCTAATTATGGTAACTTGATACCCAAACCTATCGTTTAAAAAAATATTAACTCCGTCATTTATTCTTGATCCCTGATTTCATATTTTCATTCCATTTCTTCCACATAAGTGTATCTCAATGTTATTCATTTTATTTTTTAAAGTATTTAACTGACCACTTTATACTTGCCTGCACACAATAAATATATATGCATATATTTGAAATTCATTTGAAAAATTTTCTGAGACCACAAGTCTCCAAACATTACATTTTACACAACCAATAATCTTGGATAAACGTAAATAAAACTATCCTCCTTTGTTTTAAAATAAATGTTATAAAAAATATAAAGCACCTACTTAGGTCCAATGTAACTTCCTTTTCCTTGACGACGTAAAGTTGACGAGTTGGACAGAAAGGCAAAGCTGTTCTCCTACACCGCCTTCAAGTCATGGAAAACACACAAATTAGACCAAAACCCTGCACATAAGTGAGAGAACTCATCTAGGTCCTTTCCCATAGCTGCCCATGGTGCAAACACAGAGGGGACAGAGGGACACACTTTGAGGCCCATTCGTGGTTCCCAGAATCCTTCTTGTAAATCCTGAATGTTTTAATTCTGAGACGGATGGATAAGGCACAGAACACCATGCTGTAAATTTACTGCCTGAATCAAAATTTTTTTCTGATACTCTCTATGCTTCTTCTCTGATCTCCCAGAGCTATGCAGTCTTTCTCAATATTGGTACAGTTAAAAGGCAAGATTAAAAAACACACACACAAAAGGGAGACTGGGATGAATTCCTTTTATGGAAAAGTGGGAGAAAGGTGACCAGGAAAGGCGATCAATTTTAGAGTACTACGGGCTTTTGCAATCTGTAAGTGCACCCCTTAACCCCATGCCTTTGGAAAGACTTCTGTGCTCAGAAGGATCTCAGGAATTGTATTTATAAATACATTCCCTTCATGTGCTTTTGTTTTTCTTGTCATGATTCTCTCTGGCTATGTATGTCTTGTCTGGGTGCTAAGGTCCTCTACAGACAATTGTTCAGAAGAGTCAGCGGCAAGATGGCGGCATAGGTAAACACCGCAGACTGCTGCCGCAAACAACCACTTCAAAAATACAACTAAAAGACGGAACGGACATCACCCAGAACCACAGGAAGGCTGGCTGAGGAGAGACTCTTCAACTAGAAGGAAAAATAACAGCACACCGAGGCTCAGAGGAGGCGCAGTGTGGAAAATACTCAGGTGCGGAGGTGCGCGTGCAAAGCGGGCTGGTGGCTGAGGGCGCGGTTGTCGTTTTCGGTGAGGGGGGAGTCTCAGACTCTGAGCTCCAATCTGGGCGAATCTCCAGGGACTCAGACTCAAACGGGAGAAGCGGGATTGTCTGGCATCAGTTGGAAGGCAGCTTTCTCTCCGAGGTTTGCAGCGGTTCCTGGGGTTCTGAGAAGCAGAGCCTCTGGGAACGGGACTGAGGTCAGCCATAACCGCTCCCTCCGCCCGCCCTGCCCTGTTGAGCCCGCCCCGCCCAAGCCCTGCGCAGAGCCATTTGCCGGATCGCCTCAGGCAAAGGCTAGATTAGCCCCTCCCCAGAGGACAGAAGTTTTCCGCGGCAGACACAGCTGATTCACACAGCCAGTCGGCCTGGTGGTCAAATCCCTCTAGTATTAACTACAACAATCAAGGCTCAACTAGAACAAGACTGCGCACAAAGACCACTAGGGGGTGCACCAAGAAAGCATAAAAAATGCGGAGACAAAAAAACATGACAGAAATGGAAGATATAGAGCTGAAAATCGCAATTTTGAGGGCTTGCAAAAATGTGCTAGAAGCTGTCACTACACTTGAGGAGAGACTCACGAAAACTAATGAGACCCTCGATGCTATGACAGACAATTGTTCAGTTCAGGAACCACAACTACATTTATTTGGATCATTAGAGATGCCAGAAGGTAATACAATTTAAAAAAAAATTCGCCCTAGCTGGTTTGGCTCAGTGTATAGTGTCAGCGTCCCGGGTTCGATTCCAGCAAGGGCACATGCGGGCTCGATCCCCAGTAGGGGGCGTGCAGGAGGCAGCTGATCAGTAAGGTCTCCTTCATCATTGATGTTTCTCTCTCTCCCTCTCCCTCTCTGAAATCAATAAGAACATATATTAAAAAAAAATTCCCAATCAGTGAAAGAGCCCCAGCCATTGGGGGTCAGAGTTACTTCCTGCCTCCTACGCATTTCCCTGCCGATAATTTGGTGGTGCTTTTTTGGTTTCCCTTCCCTTGAGGCTGTTGTTTCCTCTGAGGACCGGACAGCCTTGAACTCCAGAGACACCCCTGAGTCATGTCCACTGGGCGAGGCGTGTCTCATTGCCAGCCATGGCGACGCAGCGCAAAATGCCAGGACGAGAAATAGAAACTATGTTGTGCAAAGTTTTTGCAGAAAAGCCGCCGGTTGGCGGGGCTGTTTTGGGTCGGTCTCCCGGGAGCCTCGGCAGCCTGAAGGCGACCCGAGTGTGCTCTGGCCCAGCGAACAACGTCATTCCCATCAGGACTGTTATTAGCAGCCCCGCAGCGCCCACACCCCGAGCGCCCGTGCCGACCGCCGCCCAGACGCCCCGCCC